AAGGGTGCAAGAGTGAAGTGGGAGACCAGTTAGGTGGTCATTGTGGTCATCCAGGCAAGAGATGAAGGCGGCTTGACCAGTGTGGAGGCAATGAAGATACAGACTTTTGAGACTTGATATCACATCTCTCAGTATCTTCTCTTATACAAGCTAAACATCTTAGTTCAGTGTTCCTCTCATCTCCTCTCATAACAGGTTTGGTATCTCTTCTCACCTGGGATGTTTCTCCTCTGGTTTCTCTTCCATCTGATGCCTCTGTAAAGAACCCAGTTTCTCCACGTATCTTTCCCTCAGCTGTTTCTCCCTATCGTGTGCCTTACTTGTAGTTCTAGGGAATTAAAATCTTCAATCCAATGACTACCCTTCTCATATAAAGAGGGGAGCTGGGTGCAGTGGTGCATGCCTGTAGTCCCAACTACTCTGGAGGCTGAGGTGGGAGAATCATTTGAACCTGAGAGTTTAAGACCAGCCTGGGCAACATAGTGAGACATTGTCTCAATAAATAGATAGATAGATAGATAGATAGATAGATAGATAGATAGATAGATAGATAGATAGATAGATAAATAAAGGGTAGCCCCAGTCATCCCTGTGATTAGTCAATTATCAGTCTTTCAATTATTTAACCATGACCCTTGAATACCTATTGTGCCAGTTGTGCTTGGAGGAGACAGAGAAGAAGTAGACATGATCTCTGTCCTCCAAGAGCCCAGGGTATAATGGGAAAGATAAGGCCCAAATAAATGTAGTAAAATCTAGAAAAGCAGATCACAAAGAAAATGAGATAAAGGGCTTTGGGAGGAAGAAAGAACTTTTAGATTTTGGGTAGGTGAGAAAAAGGGAAACTAACAAAAATTTCATGGAAAATGTTAATTCAGAGAACCTGGGGCTGGAGAGGGGCACAGGGAGTATTTTTTTTTTTTTATGTGGTGGTCAAAGATGACCTTACTGAGAAGCCAACATTTGAGCAATGACTCAAAGGTAAGGAATAAGTCATGTGGCTATCTAGGGAAAGAACACTTCAAGAAGAGGGCAAAGGCTCTGAGGTTAAATGTTCTTGGTGCTTTTGCCAAACCACTGGGGAGGCCGTTTGGCTGGAGCAGAGGGAGAGGGAGAGGAAGACAGAATAGTTGTGTATGAGGACAGAGAGGTAACGAGGGACTAGATCATGTAGGCCATTGTGAGGACTTTGACTTTTACTCAAAATGAAATGGGAAGTGATCTGAGCATTCTGAGCAGAGGGGTGACATGATGTCACCTACCTAATGGTAGTTTTGGACTAGGATGGTAGAAATAGCTGTGAAGAGAGGTAGTCTAATTCTAAATGGATTTTGAACCAATAATGGGTTAAAGTAAATTTTGAGAGTGTGAGGATGAAGTAGTTGGAGAAGGCTCCTTGGAGGAGGTTCCCTAGGGGAAGAGGATGAGAAGGGCTAGTGACTGTGTACCATGGGTTGTCACACCAACCATATGGCCTCCAGGTGAAGGAAAAGTAGTTTGGTTTACACCAAGGGTTCCCCATATTATTGCACCAGCTAAATTTCTCATTAATAGCTTTGTTTGATTCATAGTGTTTAAAACTTTTTTTTTTTTTGGTAGGGAGGGGTGGGACAGGGTCTCTGTTGCTAGGCTGGAGTGCGGTGGCATCAACATGGCTCACTGCAGGCTTGATCTCACGGGCTCATGTGATCCTCCTGTTTTAGCCTCTCAAGTAGCTGGGACCACAGGCATTAGCTACCATGCTTGGCTAATTATAAAATTTTTTGTAGAGACACTATGGTGCCCAGGCCAATCTTGAACTCCTATCCTCAAGCGGTCCTCCTGCTTTGCCCTCCCAAAGTACTGGCATTATAGGTATGAGCCACTGCACTTGGCCTTAAAGCTTTTAAAAATTAGTGGTCAACACTTACATAAATTCAGGAGTTTTGACAAAAATAGATTCCAGGCTACTGTTGAAAAATCAAAAAAATTGACAATATCGAGCCCCGATTCCTAGCAGGCAAAAGCTGACAGGAACCAAGTTTAGGTACTGGATGCCTCCTTTCGCCAGAGCATGCATTTGCCAGTTTTCCAGTCCTTCCCTTTCGCTATTGTTTCCCTGAAACTGAGGCTAAGGGTTATCATATATGTGTTGCTGTTTTCTTATAGGGAAGTGGAAAGGGAACTATTTCTTATCTTTATCATGTATTTTCTTTCTTTTGGTCCACTTATTTACATTACCTGCCTAGATCCTGCCAATTTTTGAGCTTGCAACTCCTGTTGTAGAGGAAAGAGGTCTGGACCTTAATTCCTGGTCCCTGCTCTGCTGTGGTAACCCACCCTGTGATGCCAAGCATAGCTAATAGCCTCTTTGGATCTCAGAGTTAAGAGACTAAATTGGATGTTCTTTTAAGAGTTCTGACATCCTAGAGGGCTTGGGATTTTGCAGTAGGCCAGTACCCTGCCCCTCACCTTTCCCAGCCAGCCAGGGGCCCCAGCCTGGTGTGTATGTCAGAGAAAGAAGATACTGGAATGAATAAGGTGCCTATATCAATAATGTATAACTTGAGCCCATAGCCAAGTAGAGGAATGCACACTGTGGTGTGTGTGTGTGTGTGTGCGCGCGCGTGCGTGTGTGTGTCAGGGTTGGAAGTGGGCTCAAGTAAATTGTACTTGTATAGGTTGTGCTTATCTCTTCTTATGCACCCTCTATGTACTAGGTTGTACTCGAGGTGCTAGGGATACAGCAGTGAAGAAAACAAATAATATCTTTGCTATCAGCTGGGTGCAGTGGCTCATGTCTGTAATCCCAGCACTTTGGGAGGCCGAGGCAGGTGGATCACCTGAGGTCAGGGTGTGTGAGACCAGCCTGGCCAACATGTTGAAATCCCATTTCTACTAAAAATACAAAAGTTAGCCAGGTGTGATGGTGGGTACCTGTAATCCCAGCTACTCGGGAGGCTGAGGCAGGGAGAATTGCTTGAACCCAGGAAGCGGAGGTTGCAGTGAGCTGAGATCTCACCATTGCACTCCAGTCTGGGTGACAGAGCGAGACTCTGTCTAAAAAAAAAAAAAAAAAAAAAAGATCTCTGCTATCGTGGAGCTTATATTCCAGTGAAGAAAACAGATAATACATAAGTAATTAACATACATGAGATAATTTCAAACAATGGAACGTTTCATGAAAAAAATAAAACAGAATGTTTGTTTGTTTTTTTTTTTTTCGAGACAGAGTCTTGCCCTGTCACCAAGGCTGGAGTCCAATGGCACAATCTCAGCTTACTGCAACCTCCGCCTCCTGGGCTCAGGTGATCCTCCCACCACAGACTCCTCTGTAGCTGGGATTACAGGCATGCACCACCATGCCTGGCTAATTTTTGTCTTTTTGGTAGAGTTGGGGCTTCGCCATGTTGGCCAGGCCGATCTCAAACTCCTGGCCTCAAGTGATCTACCCACCTCAGCCTCCCAAAGTGTGGGATTACATGTGTGGCACCTGGCAAAACAGAATGATTTGATGGAGAGTTTCCGAAGGGGCACACTGTACACATAGGTGGATACGTATTTGTGGTGGTTGTACTTGCAGATACAGATAAGTCCTTAAGTTTGAATCCTGGGTGCATATATTTATCCTTATTTGTTCCTATGTGTGCAGATGGGCAGGTTTTATGCCTAGAATGTTTGTATATTAGTATATGTGATTTTATACAAGTGAGCACACATAGGTGAGTTGGTATGTGGTTTGCATGTGGGGACACATGTGCTTGGGTATGTATATGTCAGCATTCAGCCATAACTGGAGACGTTCTGAAGTTCCTGTGGCACTTGTCAGTGAGCCAGTTAAGGAAATGGCTTTTCTGCCTCTGGCATTCAGGGCTATTTGCCAGCTTCCTCTATCCCTGTTCTTTCCCACTTTAGTAAGCTCCCTGTGTTTGGCTTCTCTTATCCCTAGGAGGGTTAAAGCCTACTGACGCATCGAGCCAGGAACTAGAAAGAGGCTGATAATCTTCTGTGTGACCTTTGTTGGTAAGAAAAGGCCTGGCTTCCCTGCCAGTCCCCGTCCTTCACACTATGAGGGAAAGAGTCCTGACTTGAAATCAGAAGACCTGAGGGTCTATTCTTGGCTCTACCACTTATCGTTGTGTGACCTTGGCCAAGCCACTACGTCTCTCTAGGTTTCAGTTACCTACTTCATAAGTGCTCTGTGCAGTAAGGAAGGAGAGGGAAAGCAATGGTCTGTGGTGCTAAGGGAGGGCCACATGGTGCTGGTGTCTGAAGGAGGAAGGAGAATATTCTGAGTGGGGGCAATGGTATGGTCAAAAGTGTGGAGACGGACCTGAACTTGCCAAGGGAAACCAGGAATCCACTTAGAGTAAAATTCAAACTTCTTACTATTGCCTACAAGGCTCTACGTGATTTGGCTGCTGCCTACCTCTCATTCTTACCCAACTTCTTGCTCACTGAAATCCAGCCATATTGTCTTTCTTTCTTTGTTTGAAAAGGTCTCAGTGCCTTTCCACTTGATGCTGTCTTTCCCCAGAATACTCTTCCCAAGAATTAGTATGATTGCCTACCTCTCATTATTCAGGTCTTGGCTCAAATATCACCTCTCCAGAGAAAGGCCCTCCAGGACCATCTTATTTAAAGTAGTTGTTCCCTAATATTTATCAATATTTAAAATGCACACGTCGGCCAGGCACGGTGGCTCACGCCTGTAATCCCAGCACTTTGGGAGGCCAGGGCGGGTGGATCACCTGAGGTCAGGAGTTCAAGACCAACCTGAACAAGATGGTGAAACCCCATCGCTACTAAAAATGCAAAAATTAGCCAGGCGTGGTGGTGCACGCCTGTAATCCCAGCTACTCAGGAGGCTGAGGCAGGAGAATTGCCTGAACCCGGGAGGCAGAGATTGCAGTGGGCCAAGATCACACCATTTTACTCCAGCCTGGGCAACAAGAGCAAAACTCCATCTTGAAAAAAACAAAAAAAACAAAAAAAACCCCACACATCTCTTGACCCAACAGTTCCACTTCTGGTAATTCATCCTACAGATATACTTGCAAGTGAGTAAAGTGACATAAAAATAAAAATATTCATTGACGCATTTATTTGTTAAATAAATAACAGTACATACAAACAGTGGAATATTTTGCAGCTGAGAAAGATAATGAAATAGCTCTTTAAGCTTGGTGCCATGGCTCACACCTGTAATCCCAACACTTTGGAAGGAAGGCTGAGGCAGGAGGATCAGAGGATCACTTGAGGCCAGGAGTTCCAGACCAGCCTGAGCAACATAGTAGGATCCTGTCTTAAAAAAAAAAAAAAAAAAAGTATCCAGGCGTGGTGGCTCTGGCCTGTAGTCCCAACTACTCAAGAGGCAGAGGTGAGAGGATCACTTGAGTCTGGGAGGTTGAGGCTGCAGTGAGCTATGATGGTACCACTGCACCCCAGCCTGAGTGACAGAGTGAGACCCTGTCTCAACAACAAAAACAACAACAAATGAAAAAGAGAAATAGTTATCTAAGTCTTGCTGAAGAATGATATCAAGGTATATTGTTAAATTTGAAAAATCAAGATGATCAACTTCTACATGTAAGATTTGTGCATTTTAGTGAATGCATATAATAATTAACAAAACAAGATACAAAACAGTGTGTATTGTATGCCATCATTTGTGTAGAAAAAATGAGAATATGTAAACAAATGCATGTAGTATATATGCTTGTCTGACAGACCTGTTCCTTAAGTAGAGCCGTTCTTCCTACCCCTGTTACCCTGTGCTTGACTGGGGACTATAAGGTGTTTATCTCTTTTCTGAACAACATTAAAATCCTTTTTTTTTTTTTTTGAGACAAAGTCTTACTCTGTTGCCCAGGCTGGAGTGCAGTGGCACGATCTCTGCTCACTGTAGCCTCCACCTTCCGGGTTCAAATGATTCTCCCGCCTTAACCTCCCAAGTAGCTGGGACTACAGGCGTGTGCCACCATGCCTGGCTAATTTTTGTATTTTTAGTAGAGATAGGGTTTTGCCATGTTGGCCAGGCTGATCTCAAACTCCTGACCTCAGGTGATCTGCCTGCCTCAGCCTCCCAAAGTGCTGGGAATACAGGTATGATCCTCTGTGCCTGGCTGACCGATTTTTTTTTAGAGCAGAGTTTCATTCTTGTCACCCAGGCTGGAGTGCGATGGCACAATCTCAGCTCGCTGCAACCTCTACCTCCCGAATTCGAGAGATTTTCCTGCCTCAGCCTCCTGTAAAATCCATTTTTTTAATATTCAACTTTCAAATTTCTGTCTTCAATGATATCTCAAGGGTCTTATTAAAGATCCTAATGATACAGACTTCTTGCAAAGTAATTAGTTTGGTCATTCCACACTAGTTGAATTACCCTAGCCTTCTGTCCTACTAAGAGTGGTCCTGTCTGAATATTGATTGTTTCTGGAGAGTTACACAGAACATTGGTAACAGTGTTTTGCCCTGGGCATGGTGGCTCACGCCTGTAATCCCAGCACTCTGAGAGGCTGAAGCAGGATTGCTTGAGGTCAGGAGTTTGAGACCATCCTGGACAATATATCGAGACTCTGTCTCTACAAAAAATTTTAAAATAAAAAAATTAGCCAGGTGTGGTAGCATGTGCCTGTAGTCCCAGCTACCCAGGAGGCTGAAGTAAGAGGATTGCTTGAGCCCAGGAGTTGGAGGCTGCAGTGATCTATGATTGTGCCACTGCACTCCAGCCCATGCAATAGAGTGAGACCCTGTCTCTAAAAACCAAATTGCAAAACCCAAACTGTGGTTTGTCAGTAGGCAGGGTAATTGGGAGATAGGAGTGAGGAGAACACTTATCATTATGTATCTTTTTATGTAGTCCTACTTGTATGTATTACTTATTCAAAAAATCATAAAATTGGAAAAAACCACTAACGGAAACATTTATTTATTTTTTGAGATAGGGAAACACTCTGTTGTCCAGGCTGGAGTGCAGTGACATGATTACAGCTCACTGCAGCCTTGACCTCCAGGGCACAAGCGATCTTCCTGCTTCAGCCTCCTGAGTAGCTGAGACTACAGGTGTGCACCACCACACTCAGCTAATTGAATGTTTTTTTTTAGAGATGAAGTTTTGCTATGTTGCTCAGATTGGTCTTGAACTCCTGGTCTCAGATGATCCTCCTGCCTTGGCCTCCCAAAGTGTTGGGATTACAGGAGTGAGCCAAGAGATCTTCCCATCTTATCTTTCTGAGTGGCTGGGACTACAGGTGCATGACACCACACTTAGCTAATTTCTTTTCTTTTTCTTTTCTTTTTTTTTTT